GGTCTTGACTTGCCGTGCGCTAGCATAGCCGAAAAGACATAAGTCCTTGGATCCGGCATCGTGATCTCGAAGCGCATAGGCTTTTCAGACCAAGATGCGGGCACAGGCGTCTTCTTCTCCTCATGTTCCGTAGAGTTGTAACGCAGATACGTCGACCCATTACTGCGCATGAGTCCGAGCTGGATGTTTGCCGTCTGCCACAGGAAAGCGGTCACACCAGCTTCTTCACCATCAGCTTTCGGATCGAAGGATAGATCTACGCTAAACTTGAACGTGCTATCCGTCTGACGGCGCCCGATGAAGTTCACAGCCCTTGAAGCTGGGTCAGACCCGCCTGGCGAGCCGGCGAGATTGTTGCGACCAAGAGCGACTTGCAGACCCTTTTGCGAAGTCTTGAACGCGCCTTCGCGAGGAACACGCCAGTAGACGAGGTTGCGTGGAATTGTCGAGTTTTGAGGGAAGTCGTAAACATCTGGGTCCGAGTTGAAGGGTCCATCACCCGGAACATCTCTTGAGCGCGCAGGTAGTTGCCAGCCAGTCATCTTGCCTCTTACAGGTTGGAATACGGGCCACTCGCCTTCCTCCCACGTAACTGGCGTGAGTACCATTTCGCGCCCCATGGGGAAGGATGTACCATTTGGACCCACGCGCGTCGCGAGCGCGCAAGACCACCATGCGCCGTTGTTATCTTGGAAGAGGTCTGCGTGACCAACGGTCTGGAAGTACTCTGATGTACCGCGGTTCGTCAGATGTGGGTTGTATGGGCTGGGAGAGTAAGGGCCCGTGATGTTTCTGGCGCGAGCCATGGTGACTGAGTGGTCTTCGGCTGTTCCGCCCTCGGCAATCAGCAGATAATACCATCCGTCTTTCTTGTAGAAGTGTGGACCTTCGGGCCAAACACCGCCGGTGCCATTCCAGAGCGAAATTACAGGTCCCATTTCGCCAGTATCGATGTCCATCTCCTGCACGATGATTCCCTGGGTTGCGACATACACTTTGCCGTCATCATCCCAGAAAATATCGGGATCGATCTTGGGAGCCTCGAACGTCACTGGATCGCTCCATGACGCGTCGTCGAAAGGATCTGTGGTCCTGAACAAGACACCTGCCTCCATGTCTGATCCGAGATATTCGCAGATGACGTAGAAGACACCCTCGTGGAATCGCAAAGTCGCTGCGTACATGCCTCTTTGTTGACCATCGCTGGAATAACTATAGCCCAAAAGCTGTGATTCACGGTTCCATACGTGGCTGATGTGTTTCCAGTCGACTAGGTCTTTCGATGCGTAGATGGGCAGCCCGGGGAAGGATATGAAGGTGGAAGTTACGCAGAAGAACGTCCCGTTCACGTTGACGCATGATGGATCGCTGTGCCAACCTGGAAGTACTGGGTTGAGGAACGTTGAGTTCTGCGCGAGCGCTGGAGCTGCGCATGCGAGGACAGTTGTCAGGATGCTTCGTAGAAACCGCATCGTGAAGAATTCCAGAGGGTCTCGACAGAGTCCACTCTCTACGCGGCAAGGTGGGACGCTTTATGCGTACCGTCGACCTTACGACCAAGAGGCTGGTACTTGCCTGCTGTGGAGAAGCGCGATCGACGGCCGTCTCGCGTACCAAATTGTGCCCATTTAGCCAGACTGCTTCCGCAGTGCTATTGCTGTTGTCATCGAACACACAACGTATTTTAACCGTTATGCAGGGTGACGCGAATATACGATGAGCTGCAGAGCCACCGGGCTTAATGAGCTTCCCAGATCCGAGGCTTCATAGAGATTGCGGAGAAATGTATGTCGATCTTCGCGAATGCGCCCGCTGACGTAAAGTTTTTCCGTGCCTGGTGATCGGATGCTGTGAAGCTTTCCAGAAATCCAGCATTGCGTTCCGTGGAACGCAGGTACGTGGCTGGATGCAAGCTGGCTGTCGTCAAATATCACATGCTTGAAGCTACACACCATTATCGCACTTAACAATGCGAATGAGATCGAGTATCCAGGAAAGAAGTTCGCAAGATGAGGCTCGCTGTTCGGAACATTGAGTTCCAAGTACGCGGGGCCGTTAGATGGTGTACACTGCACGTTCCAAGGTTCTGTTCAGGCAGGAGCGGGGTGCCCCGCTCTGGGGAAGCTCAACTCCGAGATCGCCTCATGCAAGGAAAAGCTGAACACCCTAGAGCCTACATTAAGGTAAAGATATGCAAAGTTAGTAGCCTAACGTCAACGTAGGCTCTATGGTGTTTAGTTTTTCCCTTGTATAAGGTGAACTCGCGCCACTAGTTAAACTTGCAAAGACGACGAGCAGGCTGGTAGACATGTGCACATCTAACACCCTCATGAAGATAGCTATACACGTTGAAGTGAATTGGTTGATCAATCTGACCAGCTATCTGCATGCATACCCGATAACACTGAAGAAGAACCTCCCGATACAAGTGCCCTTAACGCCAGTCCATCATTTGTCTTTTTTGCGTATGTCCTTCCCACTTTCTCTATTCAAAACGAGCAGACTCCGGCCAAACTCCGCCAATCCTGCACGGAAGCCTGCACGGAAGCCTGCGCGCCAGCGATCAAATCCGACAACCTGAACCGCTCTGTTCCGTCGGCGTCGCCGTGCGGGGTTTTCAGGTTCCGCCTGAGGCTGAGGTGCCACGGGGGGCTGAGGTGCCACAGGCAGATCCTCTTCCCCGCCATCGTACGTGTATCCAGGAGGCGGTATTCCGCTTGGAACATGGCTTCCGATTAAAGGCCGACGTTCGCTTGGGCCTTCATACGGAGTATGCTGAATTGAGCTTGTGCTGTCGTTGGGTGGTCCTGTGTAGGGCAAGATGTCCATGCTGTGTGATCTGGACGCATTACGGGACCCGGTGAGCGGCGCATTTTCGAATTGAAATGGACTACCGAGACGTGGACTGGGGGAAAAATAGTCACCGTCGTGCCAAGGCCTATTTAAGAAGGCTGCGCTGAATGGGTGCGCTGATGGTCCAGCCGTCGAGGCTGCATCATCCGAAGCTCGTTGCAGTTCATTCTGCTCATGGAAGTGCTCAGATGCAGCGGCTGATAAGTCGGAAGAAGAAGAATACCCAGATGACACAGAGCCGGGGGACCCCCCAGGTAAAGCTTGGTCTTCGGCAGAGACCTCAGTGGAGTCGTAGAAATCATCGCCCGCTGGCATGTCGTGATCGAACTCATCGTGTTCTCCTGGCAGTCCAGCGCCTCCTCGAAGAGTACCAGTCGTGATCCTGTATGGTCCAGACGTATGGTTTGTATGCTTGTCCGAAGTACGCTGCTGACTTGTATACGTCAAGTCGATCGTTGTCGAGATTTGCTGCGAGTCTGTGGGCCGAATAGCGAGTGCTTGAGGTAGCTTTGCGGCATGTGTGTGTATGTGCGAAGGTACGGAAACATCGTCCGAGCTATTGAATACGCCTTGCGAGTTGGGAAGAGCTGCCATGATAACGATGGGACGGGGTATGCTGGTTGGATAACGAAAGCCAAGCAATGTAATACTGGTAGAATAAGCGGTGATCGGGTCGGGATGATAGAGTTGCGTGGGAGAAAAGATGGTGGCTTTGTTGATGCCTATAGTAGGCGGAATGGGATTGCACCTGCGTTCTGTATGTGCCTCAAGGCGGAACTTCTTTCCCATCCCAGTCCCAACACTTCCCTCGTCCTTCAGGCGCGACTTCCCTGATCACATCAATCAGCCTTTCTGCAACCCAGTCGCGCTCGAATAGCTTTTCCTTCTTGACGTTGCTCCAGAAGTCCTTGCTCAACCCTGTTTTGACAGTTCCAGGATGCAAGGCAACCGCCATCGCGTTGTCGCCGGAAGCAGTCCTCAGATGATTGTCGAAGGTCTTGACTACCTGATTGACACCAGCTTTTGAAGCTCGATAGCTGTACCATCCTCCGAGGCGGTTGTCGCTGATACTGCCAACTCGAGCTGACATGATAGCTATCGTAGCTACATCTGGTAAACCTGTCATGTCCTCTTGGTCCTTATCGACGACTGCGCTTTTCCTTGGAAGGAAGGGAGAGAAGTGCTTGAGCATCAGCATTGGGCCTAACGTGTTGGTGCGGCTGGGTTTTGGTGTATCAGATCAGCAGATGTATCATGTAAACCTGGGATAGCGGCATTACTCACAAAGTCAGCAAAGCATCGTCGGCGTTGATCTGGGCTGGTGACTTCTCCGGAAACAGAATTCCGGGAACCATCAGTGCGAGCTGAAGCTGACTGGGACTGCCGCTGAACTGCTTCTTGCAGCTCGCTGCGGCATCCGCGATACTCGTCTCGTCTGAAACGTGGTCAACACTTGACCATCGTCGTACACACAACACCATCAATGCTGGTTACATACCCAGAACATCCAACTTCATCACCGACAATCGCGACTCGTCAACTTCCAAGCCATCGAGCAACTCTTCCTTGGTCTTGTCAAGGTCCTTCCGCGCTGTTGCGACAACGGGCGCGTTTGTGGTTTGCAACACCCGTCTTGCGAGCGCGAAGCCTATGCCCCGCGAGGCAGGTGAGATCAATGACCACGGCGGCATCGCAACGGGTATGAATGATAGAGAGTCAGAGATGCCATGGTCGCGAGATTCCGGTGATACTTCACGAGCTACGCGAAAAGGTCGGGACGCGATCGATGATGACATACATGCCCGTAGATCGGCTAGGATAACATTGGTTAGCGTGAACACACTAGCGCGGTCTTCACCCAGCTCCAGCCTGGCTACACTCAGGGCATTCACTCTTCACAAGTGAAGACATGTTGGGAGAGCACAGCGTCTATGTCTTCCTCTCATACATGGTAAAGGATCGTACGATATCCTGACTCGACATGAGTAGCACCCGAGCTCTGTGTCGCAAGTAGCGCAGCCAGAACAACGCATCGTCAGTTCGCAACAAAATACAATGTGTGCAGCAGTTCCAAAGTCTTATCAACCAACCCATCTTGACACGGCAGTAAAGACGAGTAGAGCTAGGTCATACTCTTCGTCTACGCCCTACTCGTCATAGATATCGATATCGAAGTTGTCCCAGTCGTTAGGCTCTATCACAGCTCCTGCGCTTGCCGGCTCCGCACTGTCATTCATCTCTGATTCCTGTCCTGTTTGCTCGCTACGTCTCGCCTCTCGCTCTTCGTAGTCCGTCTTCTGCTTCTGGGCCCATTTCTCGCGCATGTTGTTCTTTTTGGCACGGCGCAACGCGGCTTGCTCCTCCTTGGCGCTCAACTGCTCTTTTATTTTCTCGATCTTGACGTTCAAGTCTTTCTCTTCAGCGGCGGCGGCGCGTTTTGAAAGGTTGCGGCGTGCTCTGATAAGGTCTTCCTTGGCTTTGAGCTTCGCTTTCAGCTCTCGCAGACCGCTGCTCACTTCCTCAAGCCTGGTCTTGATGTCCACTTGTGCAAGTCGAAGCTCCTCGTCCCTATCTTTCCGAGCGATGGATTGTTTGGATTTGTAAACGATCTCTGACTCGTGGGATATGAGGCTGGATACTGCATCAGCTGGCTTTGGGTCGCCTGCATCGCCATCGGTCGTGGGAAGTCCTTGTTGGAGAGGAAGAGCAGGCGGCTTGTACTCTTCCGCGCTCTCGCGACGTGATTGAGCCGAGCCTCCAGCTTCTTGCTCTGCCTTTTCGGGGTCTGCGGTCATGGCCATGTTTGTGAGTGACATCGCTGTGTGAACTGGGAGCACGGAACAAGAGGTGTGAGTCGTTGTAGCAGTGAGCTTGGTCGGGAGGTAGCGGGCGAGTTTGCGTGATCTGCCCAGAGATTTAAAGTGTCGAAATTTCTGCGCAAGGCGAGCGTAGTAGTCCAAGTGAATGTGAGTCTCTAACTTTCTGTTCAAGCACTGCCTAGTCTTGGCATTCCCAAGGTCCCGACGCGACGCACACGTGCGCGCTTGGGACAAATTATTCCGCCAAAAGACTAAAGATTATGATCACGAAGACTTGTAAGTGAACGTTCATGCTGCCAAATCGATGTTGATTCGGAAGCTCTGGGATACCCAGACCAGAACAAAATAGTCACACCGATCACCGGTATGGTGCTATTACTCTCAAAAACCTTCATCCAAACCTTCGTCAAGTGCTGCTAATCCGAGTGCATCGCAATAGTGAGAGGTACAACCAAGCTAATCGCCAAAGAACCATAGACTTACGTCAAAGCCGCAATGCAAAAGCCCAAGTGAGTGAGACAAACACCCCAAACATCTACACTCGATCCATCCGGCTCCTGATCCACGGCTCATACTTCCTCCGCGTCTCTTCGTCACCGTAGATGTCAATGTCAAACCCGTCATCCGCAACCATCCTCTCCATTTCCATGCGCCTTTTGCTCTCTTCTTCTTTCTGCGCTGTCGCGACCGTTGTTTCTGTCACCCCAGCCACACTCTTCTTGTTGACCTCATCCTCAGGTGCATGCTTGGTCTGCGGCCCTGTAAATGGATGTTCCAAGCCCAACCCCTCCATCTCTCGATGCACTCTGATCTTCCACTCTTTGAACGCCAGCCCCTTAGGACACTGGTCGAAACGCAGATGCCGATATACAAAAGCATCCTCTGCTTGCCAACTCCGCTCGTTCTTCTGAGCTAGTTTTCGCCATGCGTCGATATCTTGGAGGTCAGGGTATTTCGGGGCGAGTTGAAGTGCCTTATCTAGTTGATGACTGCGCCGCCCGGGATCTTTCCTTCGAGGGTCACTCTTTTTGGGTGGTACTGATGCTTCAACTTTCGTTCGTTTGCTGCGATCAGCATCGAAGGAGTTCGGATGCGGCGGGCGGGTATGCTCGAATTTCGCCTTCTTTCCTGGCCCTTGTGCATGCTCGGGCCTTCTGTTACCGGGTCGATTTCCTGAAGTCTTGTCATACTCGTCCGGTGCCTGGACCTCGCCCCCAGCCATCGGATACTGCTCATCTTGAGTGTCTTCCCACTTCCTCCTCCTGTTTCTTCCTTGCGCAGGTGCCAAGTCTCCAGCACGTTCTCTGACTGAGGTCGCGCGTCCAGCCTGCGCCCTTGCGTCTCCTACATTCTTCGCGCGGTCGGGATGTACGAAAGCCATGTCTAAGTCTGTGCACGTAGTAAATATCGTTGCGTTGAAGATGTAGCGAAAGGCGCGTGTTGTGAAAGTATTAGAACGTGGTATCTGCCGGGTGAGTGTAGAAATGTTCAGTATGGTAGTTGCGGCGACTTACGACTCTTATTCCAGGTACAAACGCTCGACGTGTTCGCATACAAGGCATCCGCAGTGAATCGTGACTTCCAAGGTTGGTGACCCACCTGCTCTTGTGGTTGCACTACCCTCGCTCGCCAGGCACCAAGCAACAACGTGACAACAACCTCTCTGGTTGCATAGATATTAAGGAAAGATTAGTAACGTACCGACTTGAGTCCAGGTATCTTCTTTGTGACTAACGCCTTTTTCTGTCCGGCAATGTTGTGGTTGTGAGTAAACGTAGGGTGTGAGTGTACCAGATGGACCCTGAAGAGCGCGCTAGCAGCGGATTGGCTGCAAACGCAAGCTGGAGCCGAAAGAGGAAGCCACGCGGTGTTGGATGAGTCCGAGACATGTTATGACTGTACAGACTCAGACCGAAGAAAGCATGGAAAGCTTGAGAGTCATGAAGCCTATTGACTCCATCACACATTGCACGAACTATCCATGCAAAACGCAATCTTGTAAAACGTCGAGGCTAGCCTAAGAAACTGCCAGGCCAGCCACACATCATTAAAATATCTACAGCCATGCTCATCAACACTTTTCTCCCCATCCATCTCACAATGAGCATATCGAATCTCTCCCCTCCATGGCTCCGATATCAGTGTAGATAGAGAAAGATGTAAAACAAGGAAAGCTCAACGAGGGAATCACAGCTATACATGCGAGGAAAATGCAAAACCGAAAACGCCCATTCAGTCTCTAATCAAGTGAGAAAAAACCGCAGACAGGGAATAAAGCGTAGTAGTGGTAGTAGTAATGTGTGGATAAGGAACATGGTCAGATCGCTAGCATAATGCGAAACGTGACAGGAAAGAGAAATATGATCGGTTATTTACAAAAAAGAGTCGTAACGGCTCGTCAAAGTAGGAAAACAGTAAGGCGCGGTATGCAAACAAGTCCACCCGTCCTACCGACGCTGCAGGTACTACCTGGGCGGGCTCCTTGGACTTCGTGGACTCCGTGGTGGGCTCTTGGGCACTGCGGGCACGTCCGGTACATCTTCTTGATCCTGACGAAGATGTTCCGGGGCCTCGTCCCGTGTTATTGTTGCTCTCCGTATCGCGTTGCGTAACCGGCTCATGACCGCTGGCTGTGTATTGGGAGTACCATGTTGGTAGCTGTTCCGGTGGCCTTGGAAGCTGTTACGGCTATGCGAAGACTCAAGTCGCGTCAACATAGCTGCCGATGTAAAGTCGTTGCTTTGCTCGAAACTAGGGCGTACACGGTCCATAGACATGCGTGCACGATCGAAGCTCGGTCGCACACGATAATCGGTCGACATACGGTGGGCGAGAGGAGGAGGAGCTTCCGTTGTGGGTGCGGGTGGAAGACCTTCCGTAGAGCGGCGGAAGGTGTAGTCGGTGCTATTACTGCCATTTTGACTTCTTGGGTTATGCGTCGTAGCCGTCGGGGCGACTGATGGTGGATAGATGGGACGCACGTCTTCATCGGTAGCATCGGCGTTAGCGGCTTTGTACTTTGTAGCGTCGGGTTCCGACTTGTTAGAGTCTGACTCACCAGCCACCTTCTCGGGCGGTGGAGGAAGGTAGGCGTCAGTGTCTCTAAGGTAGTCGAATTTACCTTGCTTGACTTGCTCTCGGATGATGTCCGCGTCGAGGGGGAAGTACATTTTCTGCACAACCTTGAAAATGAAGCGCGGAAGTAAACAAGCTATCGTAGCGCAGAGGACGTAAGCCCAGAAATTAAGAGTACCATATGCTTCGGCACCAGCTTTGTAGAACTGAGCACTCGATGTGAAGGAGGTGTACACTCCGGTCCAGAACCAGATGAAGAGAGTACTGATGACGACGATGAGGACCATGAGCCAATCCCAACGGTAGGTGTTGTACAACACGTAAATGTTGGCAGCGCAAACGGCGGTAGTCGCAGCATAGATACCCATGCGTCGGAATTCAGCCAGGTCCAGTCCGTTGGAAGTCGCGAAAGTAGCGGGTGCAAAGATCTCATACAAGAAGAAGAAAGCGACCGCGGATTGGTAGATACCGTCGACCATGTAAGCCCTGGAGAATGTTAGCAATCTTTCATACGCTCTGAGAATACTGTACTTACCAGAACTTCGGCTGGCTCCATTCCTTCCGCTCGATACCACGACGGTACAGCTGTGGAACGGCCAGAGATACTCTATCATCGACATCCTGATCCAGAACACCCATGACGATAACAGGGAGTGACGTAAACGCCAAGTTGAAGAAGATAATGTACGTGTAGTCGAAGATATACTGGCTGTCGAAGTTGGTGTAAATCTGGTACCAGAAGAGAGAGAACGTCCAGATGATGTTCTTGTAGAAGAAGTTGGCAATCGTCTCTGCAAGTCTGCGGTAGGACCATCGACCATGAACAAGCACTAGACGAGTGAGGAAGCGGAATTGACCAATGGCGTAATCAGAGGACATGACGGCTGCGCGTCCCTCAACACCAGCGATACCGACACCGACATGGGCTTCTTGAATCATAGCGACATCGTTGGCACCGTCTCCGATAGCAAGAGTGAGACAGTCCAGGCCGGTCTTCACCATATTGACGACAGCTGCCTTCTGACTGGGACTGACTCTGCAGCAGAGAACGGACCGGCATCGCCTACACAGAAGAAGGAACTTTCTCTTTACCGAATCATCCAGAGCCAGCTTGAGAGTATCTCCGTCAATGATGATGGCATGCGTAGGTGGTGGAGGTTCGTGATCGTTTTGAGCGGCGGCTAGCTCTTCTTCAGAGCCTTCCAAGCCGAAGATCTTCAACTTCTCGTCAAGCTGGGCTTCCACGGAACCGATGTTGTCATCGGTAACCTTGAGAATGATGAGGTCCATGTCGTTATCGAGTAGGTTGCAAGAGAACCCAATGTTGATGGCTGTCTCAACTTTGTCACCCGTTAGGACCCACAGTTTGATACCAGCTTGACTGAGGAGAGAAATCGACTCTGGCACACCGTCTTGAAGTCGATCTTCGATGGCAGTTCCTCCGATCAGCCACAGGTGGTTTTCGATGCGATCAGAGACCTCTTCCAGCTTATCTTCACGCCCCTGGATAGCGTTGGCAGCGATGTCATAATCCCTGTTCCACTCTTGATATTCCTCTTCGGAAACCTCTCTTTGAGCGATGCACAGTGTTCGGAGTCCTTCTCGTGCAAACATTTCCAGGTGTTCACCGGTGTCGGCACGGAGTTGTCGCTGCTCATTGGGGATCAATCTCGAGTAGATCATGCTGTCGGCTCCCTTGCAGAAGAGGACGATTCGGTTGTCGGGCATTCTGATGATCGCGCTCATGCGCTTCCTGCTGGAGTTGAATTCCAGAGTATTGAGAACCTGGTATTTGCGCTCTTCTCCCAAAACATTGACAACGAGACGGTCGTCTTCACGGCCTACGAATGTGAAGCCACAGTCGCGAGCAGTGGCGACAAGTGCAGCTTCGTCGGGCGATTGTGCTTTGAACTCGATCTTCGGTGGGTCGCCTGGAGTGCGTTCGGTAACAACAGTATGACAGAGGGCCAAAGCGATCATGAATTCCTCGTTGGCTCTCTTCTGTTCCATTCCAGAGTCTCCACGCAGGTCGTCGACATAGTCCGGGGCAATGAAGGTCAGGTCGTCGTCCCACAAGTAGGGGTTGTTGTGCATCTTGCGGATCCCCTCGAGCATCCGCACACGGTCGCGTGCTATCTGTTCGCGGGCTTTGGCACCCTCCACTTCGACGTTGATACCCTGTCTGCGTTGCATACCTGCTTGAGCCTCCGTGTACGC